ATTATAAAGAAGTATCTTTGTTGTGCCCTGTAAATTTGTGTATAAATCAAAATCTTGTCAGTATACTAGGGAAACTAAGGGTTTTTCAAGGCTTGTATGGTTCATAAATTTTGGATGAAGCAAGCTATAGGTCAAAATATCTTGCGAACAGAAAATCCTACCATTGCTAGTAGTTTTAAGAGCATTCTGGGTGTCCTAGGCAGTATTTCCACTTAACTGGACTTCAGGATCAATTTGGTTCCTTTAAAATATATAAGTACTGGGCCCCAAACTCAAGAGTGTCCATAGGACTAGACTGGGCCTGGGAATGTTTTATGAATCAAGTGTTCCAGAGTCTTTTCAGTTAACAGGCAGCAAGTTTCTGGAGGGCCTCCTTGCCTTCATTATGTCCAGTAATCTTGGCAAGAGCAGGTGGGATCTGTATAGTGGACGCAGGTAAACTTAACAAACCTTCAGTGGCTCATCTTCTCTAAAATATAAAGTACAGTCTAGAGATGTATTTATTATTATATTCATATTTATATTTAGACCCACATGTAATTATATCTTCTAGACAAATATGAATTATTTATATTCTTTTTCTTTTATGTTTAGTTTTTTCTCTCACTATATGGACACAAACTGCCTGTTATATGCATGGACATCTCTTATGTAAGTAAAGTTTAAACAATGTCTCAGTAAAAAGATAAAGAAAAAGTAGGGAAAAATTCAAAAACTCCCCAAATTACATGTTCTATTGTTTCAAAAATATTTTAAGATAAAAATGGTAATTTGTTTCATTTATGCTAGTTTCTTTTTTTCATTGAAAAGAAAGTTTTATCCTATTTGTTTATTTCTTCTTTGTAAGGGAGAATCATTTTTTTGTTTGTTTGTTTATGACTCTGAGTAACACTTTGTCCATTCACATAAGATCATGATACACTATATATTAACTGTTGTTATTCTCTTATTTTATTATGAAATTTTAAAATTTTTTCATAGAAGAGTTTTTTCATATTCTTTTAAATATCTACTTGTATTACATTTAAAAGATTTTTTAAAAAACAAGTTATCTTGTCTAAAACTGACATTTTTTTCATTTCTGGCTGGATAGCTTCACTTCAGATAGTTTTATTCGGTTGTATATCTGATGTTCTCCACAAATAGTGGAGTGGATTATGTATCATAATTATATCTTAAATATGTTTAATGTTTTCAGAATGATTTCACAAATGTCTCAATTCTTATAACCCACTGTTGTGGCTCCTCCTATATCGTATTGTCCAAAATTCTGTAATTGGTAGAGCACCCTAGAAATGAAAGACTTAAAAAATACTTCCTCCTTTGTATTGTAGGATGCATTGGTGAGAAGGATGTTAACTTTGTATTGGGACTTTTCTGATAGCTTGCATTATCTGTACAGTCTCTTGAACATAATCCCATTTTTCCAGTACCTCATTACAATTAGGTGTAAAAATGTGAGTTCAAAAACACAGTGCTGCCGGGCGTGGTGGCACATGCCTGTAATCCCAGCACTTGGGAGGCTGAGGCAGGAGGATCACGGTGAGTTTGAGACTAGCCTGGAATACATAGTGAGTTCCAGGTCAGCCTCAACTACATAGTGAGACCCTGTCTCAAAAACAAAACAAAACACGAAAAAAAAAACAAAAACAAAAAAACCACAGTGCCTATTCTGTGTAAAAGGGGAAAAAATGCCCGACTGTAGCTCTCTCATCGTCCCACAAAGAAAGCTGTTTGAACTAGCATCGACACAAGATGTGAGGAAACAGTGATGACAAGTACAGGGTGTGAGGCCAAGTCCTAACGTTCTAGCGGATCGAACCACTGTCATTCTTTGCCCTCTCCTCCCATCCTGTCCCCAAATCCTGTCCACGCTGAGATTAGCAGCTGTTCATCCCGTGTAACAGAGCGAGTGGGTGATCTTATGTCAAAGTGTAACCCTACCCTGTGGCGGTTCAGGAACCCCGAAGCCACCGAGTTCGTACTGTCACTGCGTAAACTTTGTAAGTGGCTCTGTAAGTGGGAGCAAAGAATTAGGTGCTTTTAGCAGAGAGATGAAATTAATATTTTTTACTTTATTTTAATGTTTTTGAAAGAAATGAGTTAAATATTCTGCTTAGCTTTGATCCAAGTTACAGAATTCAAATACTAAATAGTATTTTGCTTTTCTTTCTCATAGGATGGAGCCCTAATAGCCACTGGCTCTGCTGATAGAAATGTGAAAATCTGGGGCTTGGACTTTGGAGACTGCCATAGGTCTCTCTTCGCACATGATGACAGGTGGGTGTAGGCTTCTCAGAGCTCTCCCCTTGAGTCACTTGTGTCATTTCCTAGAGCATCTGTGTGCATTATTTCTCATTCGGTGGAAAGTTCTAATATATAGTTGGACACTGTAGAACTAGCTAGTCAAAGCCATTTATCTTTGGAAGACTTCTTTACCAGCTTGGAATCTGATGACTTTCAAATCCTTCTGTCACTTTTCAGTGTGATGTCCCTACGGTTTGTGCCTAAGTCTCACCTCTTCTTCACCGCTGGGAAAGACCGTAAGATTAAGCAGTGGGATGCGGACAAATTTGAACACATACAAACTCTGGAGGTAACGTCTTGGCTGCTCTGCTTGTTGGGTGCTTAAGAATTGGTTGTAGGACGATGGTATCACTCACTAATATAGGTGGTAGTGGTCTATGACAGTTCTTCTTACTTGGGTTATTTTTGGTGTTTCTTTCTCCAGGGGCACCACCAGGAAATATGGTGTTTGGCTGTGAGCCCCAGTGGGGACTACGTTGTGTCGTCATCTCATGACAAATCTCTGAGACTCTGGGAGAGAACAAAGGAGCCACTTATTCTCGAGGAAGAAAGGGAGATGGTAAGAACTTCAGGCTTGGTTTCCAGTATGCTGCTGGGTAACTGGCAGGTTCTCCTAGCCGAAGCTTCCTGTCTAGGTAGTCACACCCATTCAGTGCAAGTACAAGAGCCTTTGGGAGACATTTCCAAGAGCAGTGTCACCCACTTCAGAGGCCAGGCAGAGACACAGATACCATTAGGCAATTGCTTTGGAAGAAAAAGCTTCTCGCTGCCTTATTTCACTTTATATAGAGACCATGCTTTTTTGGGGGGGGGGGGCGGCGTTTTGTTTTTTTGTTTTTGTAAATTTCATACTGATAATCTTATCTCATGGCAGCAAAGGGAAGCAGAATATGAGGAAAGTGTGGCCAAAGAAGACCAACCGGCTGTAAGTAAATCTTTTGAAATGAACTGTAATTTTAAGAATTTCTAGTGGAATTAGAATTGGGGTTAGGTTTCAAAGGCATCATCAGCTGCTATAAGAAGGAATCTGTGAAGGGCTTTTTATTCAACTGTATGTTTTGGTTTTATGAGACAAGTAATTGACCAAATTTGGTACTGAGCAATTGTCATTCTGATTTACTTTTTATTTGGGTTTATTTTTTATTTATTTATCTTTGTACCGGGGATCGAATTCAGGTCCTTGTGCTTCGCAGTGGAACCACTGCGCTACATCCCCGGACCCCTGACTTATTTTTTAAAGGAGACTTTAGAGAATTACATAACTCACTGTAGAACAAAAATAAAAATGAGAAACTTTTGAGAAATTGCACTCTCTAAACATTTGTAAGATGTTCTTATGATGTTTATAAAATAAAGTACTCAGTGATGGCTGATAACAATATTGTTTTCATAAAATAATGCCTTTGTGTTATAGATAAAAGACTTAACTTGCTGCTCTTTGGCCGGGCGTGGTGGTGCACGCCTGTAATCCCAGCACTCGGGAGGCTGAGGCAGGAGGATCGCTGTGAGTTCAGAGACCAGCCTGGGCTACATAGTGAGTTCCAGGTCAGTCTCAACTACATAGTGAGACCCTGTCTCAAAAAAAATAAAAACAACAACAACAACAACAAAAACTTGCTGCTCCTCTAATACCTAAACAGCATTGTTCAAAGGCCTCTTTATTTCTGGCAGGTTCCAGGGGAGACTCAGGGTGACAAATACTTTACTGGAAGGAAAACTATTGAAACCGTCAAAGCGGTGAGTTGATGTAGTGTGCTGTCATGGGACAAGGTCTGCGCAGGCTCCCAAGCAGAGAGAGGAATCTAACCCACTTTAAACAGAGTGGACTCGCAGGTTTGCTGATTGCTGTCATGGAAAGAGAATTTTCAAAATGCATCAGTAAGTGGCTTGGGAAGGGTTTATAAGTCAGAAATGTTAGTTCACAAGAGAAATGAGGTGCATTATTTCCTGGAACAGTGAACATTTAAGCTTCTTTTGAGGGGGTTAAAAACCCCAGGAAAAGACAACCTACCCCCTGCCCCATTCTACAAGTATGGACCCAAGTTTTTTTTTTTTTTTTTTTTTTGGTGCCAAGGATTGAACTCAGGTCTTTGCGCTTGCAAGGCAGGCCACCAAACCACTGAGCTAAATCCCTGGCCCAACCCGTTTTTTTGAATAGGTAATTTGAATATTCTTTGGATTCTCTCTACCTATTCCTTTATCTTAGGGTCCCTACTGTTTACTTTCTCAATGAAGCCAATTTCTGGACTTTAAATATTCCTAAGGTATTTTGGGTGTGATGGGTCTGGAAGGGAAGAAGCCTAAATTTAACTAAAGGAATGCTGACATGCATAGCATTGGGTAACTGGCTGGGTCCTAGAAGTTGCAAGTTTTAGTTATGATTTCCTTCTCATTTCTGATTATCTTATTTCTTCTATCCTACCTCAGTGCCATGTCTTGTTTTAATGGGATCCCAGCTTGTAGTAAAAGTCTCATTCTGTATCAGTGAAACATCCTTTTGTGGCAAAAGATCGATGAAATTTGTGATAGAGATCATAACCTTTACCTGCTCAGTGTGTAGTTGCTAGCAAGTAACCCTCATTCCTTCCCTTCCAGACCCATCACACCCAAACTTCCTCAGGAATATTTAAAGCCCACAAATAAAACCAAAGACTTTTATAAATCCTATTTGGCATGTCTTTATTAAATTGCTCCAAGCTGCTTCACATGATAAATTTGTAGTCAGGCCTCCCAGTATGTGTGTCCTGGGGTGAGGAGTTTGCTGTAATGATTTCTTTCCTTTGTCATCATCTGAGTAGGCTGAGAGGATCATGGAGGCCATTGAGCTTTACCGAGAAGAAACTGCAAAAATGAAAGAACACAAAGCCATTTGTAAAGCAGCAGGGAAAGAGGTAAGATGGTCCATTAAGCTGTGAGCTAGGAAATGTTATAACGGGGATTCCCGAGGTGAAAGTCACTTCAGAATTAGCTCAGATCCGTATATGAAATAAATGCAGTGGAATCTTTTCCAAATCAAGTATCAAAAGGAATGGAAGAACGATAGGAGGAAGGAATCTGTGTCTCACTAACAAGGAAGGATAGGAATTACAGATTAAAATGACTGATGTTTTGAGTAGGAGCTCACATTCCCATGCTGGTATGGGAGGCAGGGTAACCTTTTCAGATTTGTAGATAAAAATGTATTCCCGAGACTTCTAAGTACTGTAGAAAACTGAAAGGCGTTATAATTCTTTTATACCACTCCAGTTTTTAGGATATCATTCTCTTTCCAAAATTGTAAAACGCTGCTGTTACCCTGTCTGTACAAAGTGCTCTCACTGTCTTAGTCATGGCCTGTACTGATTTCTTCACAGGTTCCTCTTCCCATCAACCCTATCCTGATGGCTTACGGCAATATATCAGTGAGTCGAATGTCTGCCTTCCCTTAATTTTCAAAGACAAGAGGAAGTGGAGAGGCATTGCAATTGGAGATGGACGCATGGGGACATCATTTGTCTTTAAAAATATTTGAATGTTAAATAGTTTGAATTTCTTTTCCATGATGAGTGCATTCTCTGTGTGGAGTTGGTACATGTGCATAACACACCTTAATTCTGTTTTCATCCTCTCCCCCTCCACACCTATCCCCTCCCTCCATCTCTCTCTCTCTTTTTTTTTTTGGTACCAGTGATTGAACTTGGGACCTTGTGCCAGTGAGGCAGGTGGCGGCACCACTGAGCTAAACCCCTGGCCCTCTTTCCTCTACCTCTTGGTCACCTTCCCATTTGAGAAAGATCTATCCCCTACTTCCTGGTAGCTCTTTTGGCCTTCTCATCTAGGAGAAACCTTGCCATATTTAAGCTTGTGTGTGAATTTCAAAAGGATCACTTTAGTGTAGCTTCCTAAGTCAGCCTTTTGGTTGGACTGGACTCACGTGTGTCTGCTGTCCAGTGCCCACTTAGGCTTAGTATGCAGAGCCCCCTGAAGATGCTGCTCATTTAAGTGAACTCTCAAATAAGTCTTCAGAGGAAGAGTTGATGTAACTCAATCAAACCAAGTAAGAGAGGGCAGAAGAAAGGAAGAATATGCTTATCTGGCAATCACTGGTTACTTAGTATTTTACTTGTATGTTTCATTCATCATCATCATCTTGAATCAGTGTCGTGTTCATTTTATAGATCGAGAAAATAGCCCAATTTAGTTGGTAAAGGCTTAGCTTATTTGTAAACCCAGATCTGGCTTACTGTAAGCCCATGCATGCAGGTCTTGCCATTTTAGAGCACTTTCTCAAATGAGAGAGGGATCTTGTTTTTTAGGTGATAGAAATGACACTGTTCACAGAAACCGACCAAGAGTGTCACTAATGGTATTATCTTCCTTTGTAGCCCTCAGCTTATGTGTTACAGATTTTTAAAGGGATCAAGTCAAGGTGAGTCCCAGTGCACAATTAGAATTTATCATGTAGCAACATATATTGAGTGCTTATGTGAACATGAAATAAAGAGAAATTACAACTGATGATTATCTTCCTTGGAAGTTTATGTCAAAAATTTAATGAAGAATAATTCATTATAATGTTCTTTGGAAATATTAGAACTAAGATGCTTCTAGCCAGGTGTAGTGGCACATGCCTGTAATCCCAGCACTCAGGAAGCTGGGACAGGAAGATTGCCTAGAATTGGAGGCCACTCTGAACTGCATAGCTTGACTCTGCCTCAAAAAAACAAAGAAAAGAACTAGGAGGTTTCATCTAAAGTATGGAAATACTTTTAAGAACAAGTGAGAGGTTTATGTTGTAGGTAATAATAAATAATTCAAACCATCCATGTGGGCTCATGCCTATAATTCTAGTGTCCTGCGAGGCTGAAGCAGGAGGAATGCAAGTTCAAGTCCAACGTGGGCAACTTAGCAAGACTCTGTTCCAAAATAAAAAGTTTAAAGAAGAGCTGAGGAGATAGCTCAATGTGAAGGCTCTGTGCTCAATCCCTAGTTAAAAAAAAAAAAAAAAAATCAGAAGTACCAACAATGTTAACATTTCTATATTATTTTGTTTAGCTTATTATCTATATATCTATATATAGTTGGAATCATACAGGGTTTCTTTTTTCTTTTTACATATTTCTTGAACTTTTGTGTTGTTATTAATAGTCTTCAAAAACGCATCATTGGGTTGTTCAAACTATTTCACTGTATAAGTAATTACTATTGGATGTTACATTTGTTTCTCATTTTTTACTGTTACCAGTTATGCTTCAGTGAACACCTTGACATATAAATCTTTGTCATCGTTACTAAATAATTTTATAGAGTCCTAGTTGCCCTAATAACTGATCAGTACACATGGGCTTTTAAAAGTTGTTTAGCAATTTGAGAAACAAAAAGTGGTGTTATCCTTTATTCATTTTTTTGTTAATGGAGTTAAAATTTCATATATTTTGCCCCTTTGTGTATTTTCCTTTTTTGTGTGTGTACGCTGTAGTTTCCCTTTCACTTAGGATTTTTAGAATTTTAATTTAGTTTGTCATATACTTTTAGAATAAAGTTATGATTTGCCTCTGGTTTTATGTATGTTTATGTTTGACTTACTAAAGATTGTTTTCATAATGAGTTAAAATATCTACATATAATTTAAATAAGACCATCTCAATATAATGATGAAACATCACTAGAGAACTATAGATGAAAATCGATTCATGGAGGTATAATACATCCCAAGATGAGAAGAGTCTGTATTTTAAAGTTGTAATTTTCATGAGCAAAGTAATAGATTTCTGATCCCAATTGAAACCCTCTGAAGATTATTAGTTAGAATTTACAAAATAATACTAGACCTGATTCTAAGAGGAGCTGCTCTCTAAGATTAAAAGGCTATGACATTAGCAAAATTAAATAGTATAGGAATGGTGTCAGAATCAGTAATCTTCATCATGAACTTAAAAGCCCTGAAAAACACAGATTTAATGTATTTTTTTTAAGTATATAAAGGAATATTTAACAGAAGGTTTGAGGAACAATGTTTATCTGGAGAAAGAAAAGGATATGCCCAACATGCTGTGAACCATGCAGCATTTCCAATAGATTACAATATGAACAGAAAAAAATAAAAACACTGCAAGGCAAATCCTCCAGAGTAATGATGCATATTCAATTTAAATCTCTGTGAACAAGATCTATTCAAGTGGAAAAGTAGTAAGAGAAAAGATTTCATCGTTGACCATGTTAAGGACTATGACATTTTCAACATTTCTCTTTTCTTTTTCAGTGAACTGGAGGAATCTCTGCTTGTGCTGCCTTTCTCCTATGTCCCAGACATTCTTAAACTCTTCAATGAGTTCATTCAGCTGGGATCTGATGTTGAACTTATATGTAGATGTCTCTTCTTCCTCCTCAGGTAAACACCTTTTTGCAAAGAGACCAGGTCTACTCAAAGAACTGCTGCGTGGTGTGGTAACTGAAGCCATCAGCACTTTGGGATTACAAATACTGTGTTTCAGAAACTTACAGAATTTCAGTGTCATTTGCCCCCCATGTTTCTTAGGCTTTGGGAATATTCTTGCCTTGAAAACAGGGGCAATGATGACCCACTTCATTAAGTAATGCAGGATGTTGCTTAGGAATGCTCACTCCATTTTAGGGTGCAGTCCAGGGTAGTAACAGCTCTGATTCTAGTCAGTATGCTGAAAGCCAATTAATAAATAGCCTTTTGCTTGATTTGTTGTGTTTAATTTACACTAGCTGGTTTTGTTTTGCCCTCATAACAACATTTTAAAGAATAACCAGTTTATTTCCATACATGCAAATGGAAATATAGGGAGGCAATCTAAGGAACAGAGAATATGTTCATTGTGTTCTATTCTTAAATATGAAGGAGTTTTTATTAATATATAATTGAGAAGAATATATTTATTAAAAACTTATTATTCTCATTTTCCATTTTACAACCCTCACTCTTAAGCTGTTTCAGCAGAGGACGGGCATAGAGATAAATTGAATGTTCCTTAAAATACCGTTCCTCATTGAAAACAAAAACTGGTTAGCCAATACAAATGGCCAAACAGGTATATTTGGTGGATTTGCTGAATAAGTATTTAGTGAATTGGTCTGTTTTCCTGATTCTTAACTCTCTGTTCCTTATCTTCTTATCAGGATAGCACCAAGAGAATAGAATATTATGTTTATATTTTTCTGTGGCCATATTTAGAATTTTGGGCAAGTGAAGGCAGAAATTCCTATGAGCAATATATGGCATCCATGCTATTGGGTCCGGGTCACCTCTTGCATGCCCAGGGTCATCGTGGATGTGCACTGCCTGATGGGTGGGTATAGTGGACCCATGAGGTATATGTCAGAGTGTGTCTCTGACAAATGACTTTTTTGCTGTGGAAAATTTTAAGAAATGTTAGCATTTCTTAAAAGGCTCATTGTGGACCAGGCTTTCCACAAAATGCCTTTTGCCAAAAATCTGTGGTCACCTGGTAGTTTGGGAACAGAATTATCTTTGCAACAAGTTCAGTATGTCATAAGGTTTAGCATCACATTTTAAAAATTGTCACCAAATTTTACTCACTGGTAAGGAAAGAAACTTTCCAAGGTTTTGTTTTTTGCTAGAAGCTTTACTCCAGTGACATGGGGAAATGAATCTGTATTTTGTGGCTGTTGCTTTGCTATTACAATTATGTACTACTTCTTGGAAGGAAAGACAGGACCAGGACCTGTCTTCACATTATGACTCTGTAGGGCCAGGGATTTAGCTCAGTGGTTCGGTGGCCTGCCTTGCAAGTGCAAGGACCCGAGTTCAATCCCTGGTACCAAAAAAACAAAAAACAAAATAATATGACTCTGTATTGTTTTCCTATTAGGAT